AGGCATTATACTTGGGAAAACTGCTTGCCTGTTGTTTTGGTTTTGGTTTTTTTAGGGTTTTTTTTAAAAAAAGAAGTGGGGAAGAAAGAGAGAGGGGGAGAAAAAGTGTTTGTGAGCCTATGGTGAACTTAATTAACATCACTGGAGGGACAGAATAAAGTACCTAACAGGGCTATAGTAAAACCTTGCGAGACATGAATGAGTCAAAATATTATTGACGTATTCAATTATTTGCAGTTGTGGGGGTTTTGTTTTCTCTGACGACTCCTGAAAATAATAAAGCACTTAAAAGTTCCGCTTTCACTTGGCTGACCTGGCCCTCTTGCAGCAGCACAGTGTGTTAACCCCGGGAGGGAGCTGAGCCGGAGCCAGTGCGGGGCGAGGAGCGCTGAGAAAGCAGTACACACAGTCCCTCTGGAGGGGAGCAGCTCACATTCATCTCTAGGGGCTCTTCCTGCCTGGCCTGTATTATTTATTTTACTATTATTAGCATTTCTGAGACACCAATCACTATGGTAACTCTGTGCCTGTAATAACTTTGCATTTATGTGATTCTCTTCACCAACAGTTCCTCTGTACTTCACAGTTACTAATTACTTTCACCCTGCACGAGTGGCCCATTGCACTCTCTAGGTTGTTAAACCTGAGGACTTTTTGCAGATGGGAAGGCTGAGGTGCAGAGGGTTTAAGGGATGAGTCCTTATGGGTCTCCTCGCTGCTGGACCTGCCTCTCCAGAATAAATCTGTATTTCAGCTTCTTTCCCTGGATTCCTAGAGGTGCATTGCAATAGGAACTTAAGCCATCAACCCCTTGTAGGCTTCATCTTTCTCTTTAAATTGTGCCTATTGCTTTTCTTCTGCTTGCTGAGCCTTTGAGACCCAGTGCTGGGAGCCAGGGAAGGCTTTGGCTGAATGATCTTGATGGAAATATTTCTCACAGCTCTTTCTATGCCCCAGCCTTGCATAGGCTGACACAGTGAGCATCGTGACCCCACGGCAAATGTAAAGAAGGACTGTGGGAGGACCTCAGTGGTCCTGCAGCTCAGCTGTGCCCCCTGCCAGCCTCAGAGATGCAACCAGGCCTGGCCCCGTGGCATTCAGCATCGGAGAGGTTTGCTGAGGGACCACAGTGATGATCCACACAAACCTCCTGGCAGGTTAGCTGGGAACACCTCGGAGGAGAAACCCCACGTGCAGCCAGATTGCAGGGCAGCAATCTCATCCTTGTGTTTTGCCTCAGTTTTCAGCAGCAGCCGGGACTCTGTGGTTGCAGACACCCACTGGCACAATAGTGTCATTTTTAATCCTTTTAATATTTCTCTTTTTAAGAGCATCTTAGCTTGGGGGCCACATGGAGGCTGAATGGCAGGAGGCCTGTAAGCTCTGGGGTTGTGTGGGGGGGAAAGGCACAGTCTGCAGCAGTGCCACTATGCACATCACAGGAAGATTTATAGTTGATTTTCACATATATCTATAACATCTGTGTGGCTAATAAAATTGATGGAGTTTGTCATAATCAGCCTGTACTCTCCAGTGAGAGAATTATGTCTGAGCATTTGGAAATCTCATGCACAGGCAGTTACTGAGGGAATGCTGTGAAGATTAAGTTGTTTCTGCGTGGCAATGGATACTCACACTGAAATGCGGTGCTCGCTTCTGAGCTGCTGAATGGGTTCTCGGGAAGAGTGTGTTGTTAAATGGGATGCAGGTATTTGCTAAAAAATCATACATTTGTGTGGGTGCCTGCTGTCACAGGTGTGTATTTACATGCATGCAGTTGCACTGGGGTAGTAGATTTCCAATGCAACCAAAACTAATCCCAGAAATACTGCATGGAACAACCCAGCTCCCCAGAAAGGCGAAGTCTCTCCAGAACAACAGAAAGGCACTGCTCTCATCTCCAACCAAACCCTCACCCTGGCTTCGTAGAAAATCATACAGTAACATTTTGTAAAAGGTTACTTAGTGTGCTACTTGATATGGGTTTTTTTTCTGTTGTGGTGAAGAGTTGATAAAATCCATGTTCTGTTGCTGGATCAAATGTAATCAGGAAAAAAATGGACAAATAATGCTGGGATGACAAATTCCGATCACATTCGTTTTATAAGCAGAGATAGCTGAAATTTCATATGTGATGGATTGAAAAACAGTACTCAAGAGGGATTCATACATTCTGTATTTATTTACTGCATTTTGTTGGCTATGGGCTTAAACAAAATTGGTTTTGCATCCAAAATGTAATTTGAATGCCTGTGAATACAAGAAGGCAGATGAACACAAGTCATTTGGGCACCCAATTCCTTTGCATGTGCATGTAAACACTTTTTGAAATATCAGGGTGGGCAGCATTTAAGCAACCTGTTAAAAACACGGACTCTGATTTTTCAAGATAGTGACTTGATTTGCTATAAATCTGGAAAATGTGTATTTCTGACTGTGGCAGTTCTGTAGCTTCTGCCTCTTCATTGCCTTGTCAGTGCTGTGGCTTAGAAAGCCTCATGGAGCAGAGCGTGATGTTGCTCATTTGGATTCAGAAAGAATCCAAACCACATGAACCTCTTTTGTAACTCCCCTGTCTTTCTGGGATAGATAGAGCCATTCCCGCCCCACCTTTTGAGAGAGTTTTGGGGTCTGACCCAGAACACATAAATTTCTGAGGATTTCAGCTCAAAATCACATTGCTGTAAGAAGCAAGCACTGAACTACCATTTAAAAGTGAGTTTAAGTCTTTTATTGTTTTAGATCCAATGATAATAAAGACAAAAAAAAATGCATTGGATTAATAATGTTCCTACCTTGAAATTTAATTTAAAATCTCTTGTAATGTAATCACATTTGGGTGTGCCATTACCCAGATGGAGAGAAATTTGTTTTGTTGAGAAATTGCTTTAGCATAAGAATGACTTGAGTTTATTAACAGGGAAAAAAACATGACTCCCCTCCCCAACCACTCCCCATGCATTCCAAAAATAAGAAACTCATTTCAACATGGACATTACTGGTTAAAAAATAATTACACATAATGAAATGTCATATTTCACACATACTCCCTGCAAACCATGCTTCTTAGTCTTCCCCAAAACACTGCAGGGTGTAACCGGCTCTTTCTTCCTCCTCCATGAAAAGAATATTTCACAATGGAATTGTGCGATGACAAAAAATGGTGCTGGAAAAGCATCACTACCCAGAGAGACATAAGGAATTGCCACAGGCCACTGCCTATAATCCCACACAATATTAAGTAGTCATTGTATCTCTTTCCAAGGCTTCATTCTTCTTTTGTGACCTACAGCCTCAATGAGAGTTTTTTACAGAAATAGAACGCCATGGAACAGCAAATTTGGGATCCCTGTCATCCGACAAAAAAATATTTGGCTTAGAATGTTATTTTCTTTTTAATGTATCTTTCAGCCGCTGTCATTAAAATTGTTAAATGGCCTTAGAAACGTGTTTTGTCAATTACCTTGGGGAAGAGTGTGAAATACTGGGCTGTTAAAAACGTGTACCACAAAAAATAAACTTGCACAGTGCGAGCGCTGCAGGAGGAGCGTTCGCAGGTCGGCGTTCGCGGGGCCGGGCTCGCCTCGGCACACCTCAGCTCCTTGTGGATCCTTCCCACCGCCGGAGCAGCTCTAATTAGTTGGGATTAGGTATTCCCAACTCGGGGAGATGCTCTCCTTCATAAATATTTGTTTGCATTTAAAAGCAGATTTCTGCAAAGGTTCTGGTGCTGACAGTTTCCCTCCAGGAGCACGGATGCCGTGCCCAGATGTGCGCAATGTGTGCGACCCGCGTTGTGCACTTGAGGCCCCTTCATCAGCTAAGTTTTGGGTTATTTCTTCCAGTAGGCATTTGGTGGGACTGATTCTTACATTGTTAAATGTATTTCATGTGTAAAGAAATGTGTACATCATTCTGCATTACCGTGAATTGCACAAATTAATTTTGTACCCGAGAACAAGAATATTTGGTGTATAGATAAATGCTATCTCATTTCTAATTATGTATTTCTGAATATGGGCAATGCTGCATATCTGTGGAGGAGAGATATTGTAGTTCTACAAGCTTAGGTTTGGGTGGATACAAGCATTTTATTTCTACAATATTCCTTTTTAAATAAATATATAGAGACAAACCTGTGACATTACTAAGAAAAGAGACTGGTAGAGATTATGATTATCATAACTGCACTAGACTGGAGTAATGGTGCTGAGTTAAAAGTTTCTGTGGGAAGATTTTTGCAAATTCCAGGGATTTTTTCAGATATCAAGAGGGAAATCAAAGATGTTTGTGGGTTTTCACTCCTTAAAGCTCCATCCTGAAATAAAATAGGTAGAAATGAAAGGAACGAAATAGGCGGGTAAGGAACTGATTGAAAACCCCAACAACAAAATAAAGACAGGGAAGGAAAATTGACAAAACATTTTTAATTCTCCTTAAGTGAAAGAGTTATACTGGGGAAAAGAATGCTCATTTTAATACTGAAATTTTAAAAATCCTCTGAGCTTAATGCCCCAACCTATTCCTATAATTAACGGTACTCAATGGTAGCACTTATTAACCTCAGTAACATTGGGTTTAAAAAAATCTTTTGCAAAATTACAGTCTGTATTTTATTGCTGTGCTTTGCTGGATGTCTGAGAGAGGTTATACAGCCACCCATAACCCACTCCATCCTCAAATCCAGGCATGCTTTACATTCAGAGCTTTGAAAACCAGCTAAATTTACACCCAGCTTGCTCTGGAAATAAATCTGCTCATTTAGATGAGGTCTCATTTGAAATGAGCTTAGCCCAATAATTAATCATTTCATTCTCTTTATATATTTGTGGGTATTTGAAAGAAGTTTGATTAGTTACCAGTGATTACACTTCCCAACACCCTGCAAAGGAAATAATAAAATAAAACCCGTCAGGCTTTTGGAAGAATGGCTGGGGCTGAATTTGGGCTGAATTTAATAGCGACTTACTAACCGGCAATTATTTGTCTGCCTTTAACAGGAACTCCATAATGAAAGAGGTTATCACCCAGGAGTTATACCCAGCTTGTTTTTCAGCCCTGGAAAGGGAAGATACTGTGCTGTGAACAAAGCAGTGATGGCTCTTGGGTCCTCCCTGGGCACGAGGAGAGCAGTGGAGCTGTTTTGGATGGCACATGTACAGGTACCCACTGACCCATGGGACACATCCTCCTCTGCTCCGTCACTTGGGGGAGTTCAATGAAGGCAAGCAAACAGACAGGCCTCCATTTGCTGATCTGTTGTTTCTAAAGGCACTAAATTATTTTAAGGAGTCCTGAGATTCAGGTCTGAAGATAGTTGTTTAATGCAAGGGGTTTTTTTCTTGTGAGGAGCTGCAGAGGGTAAAAGATCATGTTGGTCTGAGTAGATGTTACACCTCTAATGCTGCCCATTGTTTCTTATCTGTATTGTGGCCAAAGTGAATGGATGTCAGAGTTCAACATACCCATGCTGTTTAACCTGGTGCTATTATCGCAGTGACCTTAACCAACTAGGCAGTTCACAGAGCAGGCACTAAACAGAGCATGAGATGAATTTAATGGATTACTAGGGAGTATGTTATTGCAAGGAGAAGCACCTGTGGAGCAACATATTTACCTCAGTTCCACTGAATGAGCATGTTGAAAGTGAATTGGCACAGCCTTCTGCTTTATGAAAGGAAGTATTTTGTCATTCTTCATGCTTTCATTAAGAGGATTTAAGGCAGAGGATGCTGAAATGGTTCTGTGTTGGCACCAAAAAAAATCACAGATTAATAGTGAAGCTTGAAAATAGTAAAGCATCTGATTTTTGCTTTTTCATCAACAAGCCTAATAAACCAGGATGAAACTATTAACATACAAATAGACAACATTCTGATTAAAACAGCAGCAGCCAGCCCAGCCTGAAAAAGACCTCTTCACACAGAAAGCAATTATGATGGCAAGTATTGTCCAATTCACTTCCTTTTGCAACAAACCTAGAAAATCAAAATCATAATTTTGCAGAAAACACTGGTGTTATTTAAAGACAAAGATGCCATTGATTTTTATGATCATGATTAGCATTTTAGAAGCCCCCAAATGTACTGCAAGGTTGTATTCCTTTGAATTTCTACTCTAGGCGTATAGTGTAAATAGGGAAAAGGAAACCCTCAGGATAAAGTATTGTGGGAAACCTCTCCAGAGGAAGGGCAGACATTATCCTAGATTATACTGCTATAGTATACTTACCTTCCTTTCCTGCATCTCCCCTGAGTTGATCTGTGGAAAGAATATATTTACTGACTAAACCATCGTTTAACAATCTACCTCCTGATGACGATAATCTAGTATAAAGAAGTTTCCTGATTTTAAAGTCAAGCCACGACAACTGATACCACTAAGCTGTTTCATCTTAGAAGTTTTGTTTTGTCATGAAACGAGTCACTGGCACAGGAGGGTTTTCCCTCATGACAAAGCAAACCTGGTTTCCTGTTTACATGGACTGAGCGTTCCACGCGCAAACCATCGCGGAAGCCTGTCCAGTTCTGTTTGCTCCTCTGAGCAGGGAGGCTTTTCAGTAACACTCTGCTGCCTAATTCCAGTTTATGCAAGTGGAGTATAAGTGGCACCAAGCCCTCCTTAATTTCCTCTTTCCCCCATTCAGAAGGGGTGTAAATAAGTGCTGAAATCCCTCCTCGTTCAGCAAAGTGCAGAAGCTCCTCTGTAATTTAAAGCATGTGTTTGGGATTGGTTGTTTACTGAGGTGAACACATGGGTATGTTGAGATTTTTTTTTTTCCATATCTTGAACCTCGATACACATTGCTCATTTTGGAGAAAGGAGTCAAGATGCACTTTTCCAGGTGGAGGTAGGAATGGCTATGGAATTATCTGAAGGAATCCACTTCATTTCACCTGAGAGACGCAGTTCTCTTGGGTGATTTAAAAGAAGTCTTAACTTCTTTTAGTAGCTCTGAAATTTTGATATTTTTTGGTATCTCTCCTAATTTTGATATTGAGGCAAATATGCATTAAATGTGCCAGTGAGCTCATCATCCAGTTACCTTTTCCTTTCATTAGGTTTATTTAGAATATTCCTTTTTAGCAGAACACAAAACCACTCACTTGTTTGGGTGGTCCAAAACCTGATCATTATGTATTAGCGAAGAATTCAGGGTTGGAGCATGGTGGAAGATGATTTCTGCATCACACAGAGTTAAAAACCTAATTAGGCAGCTAAAGTAGCCTCCAAATATGCAGACGCTCTTTTGCGCTCCAAAATAGTTGCATCAGCTATCAATCAAGTGAATATATGATGCAGACAGGCAACTGAGGGTTTTCATTTGTGAGTAATATTAATTGTGGGTGTAAAATGAAAGATATAATAAGTGATGAAGGTACCACTCAGTACTTGGATGAACATTTTCTAAAGTTAACTCTAAATGGGACAATTGTATAAGCAAATAAAAATTCAGCTCGGCAGTGACCATTGTATGCTCTTGAAAAACTGTATAGAAGTGCCCATTGATTACTGTTCTCCTTGATTTTGGTTTTCAAGCCCTGTATTCTGGCTTGCTGTTCATTAGTCTGGAGTAATTGGGCTGGGAGAACAGCATTCAGACCTCAGTTCAATATGCAAGGCAAATAAAATATACAATTATCTGATACAGAGTCACAGAGTTGCATCAAATGGAAACAAATGGTGCCAAATCAAGACCACATGTTTTTAAGAGGATTATGAATTTAAGAGGTATGCAGCTAAATGTCATCTATTTGCAAATAATTGAGGAATTTGAAAAAAAATCCTTTTGAAGATTTTAGCAAATATAATAATTGTAAAAACACTTGCCAGGATTTTTCTGAGGTCAGTGTCCAGAAGTCTGAAATTCAGACAGAAATTACTCTGTTCCTGGTAATCCTTTCTGAATGAGACTCCTGATTGCCCTTCACTGGGGTCTGATCATTTCCCTTTGGAAGACTGGACATCTGAAGCAATGATTTCAAGCAGAGTTTTCAGATGTTTAAGGTGTTTATAAATCCTATGAAAAATGGACCATTCTTTATTTAAAATCTAAAAATCTCAGAGTTTCTTTCTGTTTGCTTTTTAATTTTTTTTTTAATAGCTCATTTAGGCACTTCACACCCTCTGTTTGCAGTGCCTTGACGAAAGATCTTTATATTTTCCCTGTTTAGATACTGAACAGAGCTCTTCACCTCACGTCTGTCACTGAGGTCTACATGTGGTTGCTAAGCCTCCACTATCACATGGAAGGGTGGAGACAGGGTAGCAGTTTTCTCTGGAAAAGAGACAGATGATCATGCCAAGTCGCAGAGAAGTATTGGCAATGACTTTTCTTGGGGCGAGATTGAGACACTCTTTGACAAGAGCCAACACCCATTTTGAGATGAAAAATGTTCATCCCACCATCTAGCTCTGCAGTCTCTTCTCCAGCAGACAGTTCTCTGGGAAAACACCCACTGCTGTGTCTGAGGCCAGTGGAGGTCCTGTGACTTGCTCTGCAGTTCCTCCGTTGGCAGTACCCAGCCTGCCTGTGCTCATCCTCTTTTTATTGCCTTTTTGCCTGCATAAAATACTATGAACAGCCAACTGGCTACATTTAAACATAAGAATACTAGTGAAACAGGTTTCCCCTGCTTGCTGTCTTGCTTCTAGAGACTTTATGGTGGTATCTTGTCTCCTTTGCCTCAGAATCTGGTTGTCATTTTATATAGTCTGGCAATTTGGGGTTTAGAGTGTCCCATCTGCTGGCAGCAGGACTCTAACAGAGCTCACATCTCCTCAGATTTATGTGGGAGGATTGACAGGGAGCCCACTGTCAGTATGTGCCCTGCTGGTTCAGGCAAAATGAACTCTGCTTACACAAACAATGTAATTTTGGCTAAATTCAGGCCCAAAGGAGTCACTATCTAGTGTTTTCTCTCATATGTGTATTTTTGGACTATCTGTAGTTTGGATACTAGCTTGCATAAATCGTGTTCTCTGAATGATTTGAGTTTTGGTGCTGGGAGAGGGTCATGTAAACCTGTTAATTCAGTTAACTCTGAATTACATCTGAATTTACAGCATTTCAGACAGATCTGCTAGAGAGACCTGAAGCATATAGCCAGGGTGAGGCATATCCCAAATCATCTAAAATCTCATTGACAGATGCAAGCAAATAAATAGCCAATTTTAAAGCCTTTGTACAGAAGAGACTAAAGATCTTTATGACTAAAGTCATTAAAATACATTGTGAGAGTGCAAAAGGACGAGAAGGTACTTCAAAATAGACATTACAGGATTGCCAAAATTTTTTGGAAATTGAGGAGATAGCAGTATCTCCCATTTGAATAACCAAGCAGTGAAAAAGTGCTGTGAGCTTTGGAAAGCCTGTGGAGCGCAGGGATGGGATCAGAAGGCAGAGGTAAGGGAAGGACACTTTGTGGGCTTCATTGTGACCATAAGTCTCTGCATCCTATTTTCTACACTTTAGGAACACACCGTGTTGGTTTTCTGCAATAAGCAGGATATTGTTTAAGTCCTTTTCCAACAAAGTATTATCAAGGTTTTTTTGTTTTGTTTTGATTTTAATTGGGAGCAGCAGCAAAGTTCAGAGCAGCATATGAGGATGTTACGGTGACACAAAAGTACAAGATAAGGTGCTTCCTACCACAGGAAGGCTATTTTAACAGTTGGGTTTTACGATATTTACGAAGGAAGGAAAGTCAAAGGCAACAATATTTAATGTCATCATTATTGTCCTGATTTTCAGAGAAACATAGTGGGATGAGGAGCTCAATCCCTTCAGCTTTGCAGAAGACTACAACACAAGGTCAGGCAGCATCTGAAAGACAATGAACCTCAAAATCTAGGCTTTTCTAATTTTTATATAAGGAAACTATGTTTTGTTCAAATATATGGATTGCAGATGGAAAACAGAAAGGGAAGGTAAATTCACAGGCCTCACCAACTTCCCTCATTAATGGTTCTCAGCAGAACATGCTGAGCTTTGTGACTTTTTATTTATCATTAAAGCACAATTTTTGTTATTTGCTGAATGGTTAAAATTTCTTTTTCCTGATAATTTGGGGAAGTAGCTGTTTATCATATGAAATGATAAACAAAAGCAGTGAAAGTCTTTTCAAATAGGTTAGTTTGCAGCCCCATAGAGCTATGCTTC